CATGTTTAAACACCTGATAATCTGCAAAGTTTTGTTTCTTTTTTGCATGCCCTGGGGTGTATGTGTTTGTGCGTTAGTAGGAAAATAGGACATGTGTTTCATTTTTTGTTTAAATCCAAATGGGCTTTAGCAATAAAATTGACTCTTTGCTTGTTAACTTAACTAACCTGCATGGCTTATTTCTTCATACAGGCAAATAGGCATTGAATGTGTAACACAATATCCTTTTAAAAAAATCTAAAACATGTTACACTTAAGGGAGGAATGGAAAAAGAAAAACAGTTGAACCACCTCACCAGGTCATAACAGGCAGAAACATTCCCTGTGCACCATGTTAGGCATCTCCTCAAAAATTAGTCACACATGATATATTCTTCATAAATTCTGGAGCTGTATCGGTTCTGAATTGATCAGTCTCAGATCTCCTTGCAAGTTATTTCAAAGAAATTACGCTCACTTATTGGATGTCTTTATGATGATTGCTTTCCTCATGGTACCTCATCTTTTTTATTTACTTCTTCACAGATGTGAGCACTGCCTGGTGTGTGTGTGTGTGTGTTTCTGTAGATGGTACACAGTGGCCACTACACATTGGTAACAGAGGGAGTGAATGTTGAAAATGGATGGGGTTCTAATCAAGGGGGCTGCTTAGTGTTAAGCTTCTTGAGTGTTGTTGGAGCTGTATTCATCTAGCCAAGAGGGAAATACTCCATCACATTCCTGACTTGTGCATTGTAGATGGTGGACAGGCTTTAGAGATATAGAAGGTGAACTACTTCCCACAATATTCCTAGCCTCTGACTTGCTCTTGTAGTCACAGTATTTATATGGCTAGTCCAGTTCAGTTTCTAGTCAATAGTAACACCCAAGATGGGGGAATTAATCAATGGTGATGTCACTGAATGTGAGGGACCAGGGAAAGGGGAGGGTTGGATTCTCTAAGGTTGGAAATGGCCATCATGTTTGTTCCACTGTTTGGTGAGATTATGGCTAGTCTGAACATCTGCAACTCCACCTTCCTGTCTTTTCCCCAATACCCTTGATTTTCTTATTGATTAAAAATCTGTGAATCGCAGCCTTGAATATATTTAATGACCTAGTCTCTGCAGCCTTCTGTAGTAAAGAATTCCACAGATTCACTACTGTCCAAGGGAAGAAATTCTTCTTTATTTCTGTCTTAAATAGGTTAACCCTTATGCTGGGATTATGCCTGAGGTTCTAGACTCTTCCACAAGGGGTAACAATCTCTCCACAACCACCCCAATTCGGCCCCGAAGAATCTTGGAATCTTGTCTGTTTCAATAATTTTCTCACTCTTCTAAGCTCCAGTGTGTATAGGCCTAATCTACTAACCTCTCCTCATAAAAAAATCCCTCCAAACCCAGGATCAACCTCGTGAACATTCTCTGGGCTCCCTCCAAAACCAATGTAATTTTCCTTCAATAAGGAGTTCAAACTGTTCACAGTGTTCCAGATGTCATCTAACTAGTGCCTTATGAAGTTTCAGCAAGACCTCTCTACTTTTATACTCCATTCCCATTGAAATAAAAGCCAACAATTCATTTACCACTTTATTGCTAGTTTTTTTTTGTGGTTCATCCACGAGGACCCCCAAATCCCTCTGTGCTGCAGCTTTCTGCAGTCTATCCCAATTCAAATAATATTCAGCTCTTCTTTTCTTCCTGAAAAGTGTATAACCACACATTTTCCCATTTTAAATTCCACTGTCAAGTTTTTTACCTGCTCATTCGACCTGTCTACACTGTTGCGGTTTTTCGCTGTGGCATGTCAGAACTGGCGATCAATGCATTGAGCATTGTATCCCATTCTTATGAGGGCGTCTTTCAAACCTTTCAGGTGTCCGTCACATTCCTCCTCATTTGAGCAGATCCTGCGTATACACATGTACATGCTCACTCTCTCTCGTACACACACATCCACGCAGACTCTCTCTCACACACACACACGCACACACAAACATACACACGCACACTCATGGTCACACACACACACATTCTCCCATACTCACACACACTCTCTCCCAAGCGCGTGCACACACACACACACACACACACACACATACACTCCCTCTCTCTCTGTCGGTCACACAAACATACACATACATATAAATCTATGGGGTGAATCATTTCATCCAAGATGTTTGTTTATTTGCAGATATTTTCTAATTTGTTCAAAAAACACACAATTTGTAGATACAATACATAAGTGTGGCATCTTATAAATTCCAGCTTTCAGAATAAAACCAGCCTGATTCCAGGTTAAACCCTGAGACAGATTCTGAACAAAGCCTCATACCTACAATTCAGTGTCTGGCCTGAGATGTTACCTTTTGTATATTCCTATGGCTCTGCCTGATTGTTGTGATGGCACAGCACTGACATTGATTTTATAAACACTTTGCACACTGTCTAACACACTTAGTCAGCTGCAGATACTTATCATCTGACACTCCACTCACACAAGTTGTATGATCTTTTGAACTCTCTGCCCTCAATCTCTCTGTCTATAAACTCTGCGTCTGTGTGCCTTGCTCTCTCACTGCACCCGACAATGGGGCTGCGCTGTGAAAGCTTGTGTGATTCCAAATAAACATGTTGGACTATAACCTGGTGTCGTGTGACTTCTGACTCTGTACATGCTGCAAGTATTAATTTTACTGGTCATGTGGGAACTAGCAAAAAGCAAGAGAGCAGAAGTGCTGTCAACTTGATGTTCCACCACCTGGAATGGAACACCACTGTGAAAATTGCACACACCAAGCAGTAATAATGTTTAATTACTGTAACTTTGAATTTTTATTTGTCTCTATTTCACTTTTTTACATTAAGTGGTTTCAAGTTTCCAAAGTAGTATATCACAAAGACACACAAACTTCTTTCTGAGTTCAACAGTCTCTATAATTTATATTGGGGTGTGAAACCCCCAAAGGTAGGAGAAAAAATTAGTGTCTGGACATTATTATTCCAAAAAACAGTTCAAAACTATACCTTAAAAGATGCACATATCATTTGCAGCCTAACACAACTGAAGGTCTTGATGGAGAAATTTCTAAAAGAGATAGTGGGGTTCTATTTCTATCAGGATTTATAGAAGCTCATGCACTGGAGTGTGAAAAAGATTTTAAAACTTCCGAAGACAAAACACCCTATGATCTGTATGTCCTTGCTTGCTATGATCTGCCTGCACTCCTTACAGACAAAGCTTTTCACTGTACTTAGGTACACGTGACTACAATAAATCAAATTAAATCAAATCAACATCAGAACATCTACCCTGTGGAAAGAAAATTGTAATTTCCACTATCATTATCTTTAGCTCCAGACTGAAACATGCATGTTATGACACAGCATGGATCCTCCCAGTGAACTGTAACAAACTACCTACACAGAAGGTCACACCAGGTACCTTATAGGGTGAAAACTAATGAATCTAAATGTCCTATTACCTTTATTATAATATGGTCAGCTTTATTAAAATAGTTGAAATCATGATACTATTCCTATCAGCAGTGATTGAATGTTGGCAATGCATTTCAAATTGCTACACACTGTCACGGAAATGTTTATCAATTGTTTATGAGTCATCAGTGCAAGTTGTCCTTGAAAACAGGTGAACCCCTGTAAACGTAAGACTTTACTCTCATTAAGGTATATCATATACAAAGAGCAATTAGGGTGACAAAATGGGACATTGAAACAACCTCATAATAACCAAATCTCTCTTAAGTAGACAGACATCTTTACAATTAGAAGTGGAGGTGAAGACTTAGGAATTTCTTTTCAATGTTTTTAAATCATTTCAGATCATTTAGAAGTCCATAATTATCCTTTTACAACTTCTTTTACATAATGCAACAAATAAAAACAGGTAATTCCCAGTCTGTAATTGACTCAAGGACTTTGTGTGGTATATATGACAACTTAAAAGACTTAACCAAATACAAGACAGCTATCTGCTTTATGATTTTACAATATTTATACTGTGCAAATTAGCTCTCAACACAGTTGGAACATTTAGCCACTTGCAGATTAATAGTTTAAAATGTATCCTCCCACTTGTTTTTGATCATTGCCTAAGCCTGTTGTTTTCTTTTGTGCACCTTATAATTAGTTTTCCAGTTTCACAACCATTCTCCAGAGCCTTTCACAACCTCATTTTCACTTTGTGGAGCATTGAAAATTGAAGACAGAACCTTAACAACAAATCCCTTGAAATTAGGTACATTTTCTCTTAATCAAGCAGACCTGTTAACCTACAGGACTATGCAATATTTGCTGTAAAACAGCAGAGAAATTCTTATAAATATTAATGAAATTGTGTATTGTTTGATAAGCCTAAGTGCCAGTCACTATTTATTGAACGCCAATAGACTGCAACAGGTTTCTCAATCCACCAATTAGTTTGTTTATATGAAGCGCAATACAATTTAGCACGAAACCATGCAAATACATTTCTTCTGAAGTTCAAATATGTCTCAGAAAACATATACCCTGTAACAGTTGTTAAATAGATAATATCCCCGTTGTATGGAAGTGACCAGACGGATTCATGACTATGTCAACCAACAAGTTTATTTTTTTCAAAACCACAATTTCTTCAAATGTAAATCCGAAAGGAATGACACAAATTAAATTCGATCAGATCAAGTTATCCGTAAATACTCCTGAACCAATTTCATGGAGGATTTCACAGATATGAAGATGAAAGGAGAGAATTTCGACAGGGTTATTTATTCCACCGCGGGAGCTCAGAACAACCTAAGTCAAGCATAAGTAGTTACTCGGAGGCTTGGTAAGATCCTGGTCACTCTCCAACCATTGCCCAAGTCAGCTTGAATATTCCTAACTACCCACTTGGCAGGGATCCACCGATCCGAAACAGCTGTAGAGATCAATCGATGGAATCCCATGGTGGGTGAAACTCAGTGCCCTACGCTGACGTATTTTTGCCTTAACTAAATGTAAATATTGTCTACTTACGGCTGTGCTTCTATACTGCAGTCAGGAGCAACGTAATTGCTGGGAATGTAGCCTTGTCTGTTGTCCCCTCGCCACAGTAACCGAGCCAGCCACCAGTTGTCCAGGGACTGGTCGATAACTTCCAGCATTTCCCCGGCTTTGAAGCTCAGGTCCTCGGGAGTGCGAGCCGAGTAGTCGTACAAAGCTACATAGATCTTGCGCGGCAGCTCCGGCTCCGGGGGGAGCGGCCGGTTCGGTCCTTTGAGTTCACCAGGCTTGAAGACACAGGGACAGATACACCTGAGACATGTACAGTGAGTCCGTATGAAATTCCCCATGTTGCTACTTCTGCTATGGATCCGCTCTATTCCGTCTCCGAAAGGGAAGACATTCGTAAAAGGAATCAATGAACAAACTCCCTTAACGACTTCAAACAAAACAGGAATAGAATCTAGACGGACTTCTATATATTGCTTTCGTTGCTTCACAGCGCAATCCTTTCTCGACTTGGAACTTGAACCAGGAAGTGTTTGTCTCGGTAACAAGTGCCAATGATCTGCACTGAAACTTTGCTACAATATCGACACGTATCGGGCAGCTACGGTCCCCTGAAACCATGAACTTTGCTTATTTCCTGGTCGGGTATTTCCCCCGAAAGCGCAAGTCAGCGAGGAAAAGATCATTTAAAGCAGTGATCTGAGTTAAACCATTCATATTCCATTTTGGGTGTTTCTTTGTCATATGCTTATGCCCTCTGAGTTGGGATTGGAGCTGATTGTGGAAAATTCAGGGAGCAGATTATTAAAGAACATAACTTATGTTTCCGGATGGGATATAATCAGCAACCCAATGGCAGTGCACTCCTGAGGTAGGCTCACAGTAAGACACAATGAGAAGAATAATTCAATGCTGACAGAGTTTAGACAAAATATTGGCATACTGAGAATTAATGTTTAAAACACCTACGAACGCCTCAGTTCTAAGGAAGGGTCAGCGGACCGGAAACGTTAACTGTGATTTCTCTGCACAGATGCTGCCAGACCTACTGCGCTTTTCCAGCAACTTCTGGCTTTTTGTTGTTGTTGTTGCGAACGCTACAGTTTCCCCTTTGAGGATTGCTCCAAGTCAGGGAAACTAGATTTACCTTCAGTTTTTCCTTGGGATAGAAATGAAACGGTTAGGACTCTGATCTATGATTACAATCTGACAAAATATACCCGCTTTGAAACTTTGTAAGGATTCTGGGAGTTTGGTAAATCTAAACAGATTCTTACGGAAATTCGTAACCTTCATTCCTGAGTGGGACGGCTGATTGGCTTAAATTGCAGCAGAACATATTGCCACTCAAATACTGAATTCTGACAGTGGCTAAACTCTGGAAATTTGCCCCTCCGCTCCCCCATCGCACTCCTCCAAAAGGTATCCTTTTAAGATCAGTCATAGCATCCCAACCGTGTGGAAGCAGGCCATTCGGCCCTTCGAGTCCGCACCGACGCTCCGAAGTGCATCCCACCCAAATCCACACCCTATCCCTGTAACTCTGCATTTCCCATGCCTACCCCACCTAGCCTGCACATCCCCGGACCCTATAGGAAATTTTAGCATGACCAATCCACCCAACCTGCACCTCTTTGGACTGTGGGAGTCACCCAGAGGAAACCAGGCTGACACGGGGAGGATGTGCATACTCCACGGGAGGCTGGAATCAAACCCAGGTCCCTGGTGCTGCGAGGCAACGGTGCTAACCGCTGGAGTCACCAAAACATGTTACTTAACACTGACATCTTTGGCTTAGCTCTTGATCACCTACCCAACATCTCTTTTAGTGGCTCCCTGTCAAGTTTTGCCCCTATGAAGAATCCCTTAATTTTTGTATGTAACAGGTTATGTCTAAAAAATCAAACCATCGTTTTTGTGAATGTTATTGCGAAGGCAGTTCCTATCCAGACAATCTTAACTAGCATGTGTAAGGGTGATAATGTATCAAGAAAGATAAGATACTGTGCAGTAAAAGACCATTTGGCCCATCAGGTCTGCATCACTGTCTGAAAAGCATTCCTCCCTCACCCCAGATTTGCCATGGTTAGCCCACCTAGCCTACAAATCCATTGACTCTACAGGACAATTTACCATGGCCAATCCATCTAACCTGCATATCTTTGGCCTCTGAGATGAAACCAGAGCACCTGGCAGAAACCCACATAGATATGGGGAGAATGTGCAAACTCCACGCAGTTATCCAAGGGTGGAATTGAGCAAAGGTCCCTAGCAGAATGAGTCACCAGTGCTGGCCACTGTGCCACCCGTCACCTTAATGTCTTTTTTCTAACAAGGTTTAATTTCAGGAAGTGTCCATATGGCAAGTCCATAATTTATTACCAACTGTTATTGTTCGTGAGAAGTTGGTGAGAAGCCAGCAATCTGAAGCTATTCGTAACAAATTGGAATTTTCTGGATTTTTTTTAAGCTGGGGTAGAAACCTGGGACAGTTTTAAAGTCTTAAAACCATTTTGTTTATCTTGATGATAGTTACAGCTGATCACCTGGAGTAACATTTAGGTGATTTTACTCTGAAATGAAGAATTGTCCCAGCATTGTGGGCAAACAAGGGCATCTGTTAAACTTTGAATTAAAAAAAGTTTAGAAAATCCTTTTTAATAATGGAAGGATTGGAAGCAATCTCATTGGTGTGCATTAAAATTTTCCTGAATGAAGAATAGACAATTGTGCAAGCTGTGTAAGGTTGCCTCTACATGTGGAAAAATAATGCAACCAGAGCTTCAGCCCTGTCAAAAAAGGTGAAGTATAAGGAGAAAGTAATGTTAGAACTGTGCAAGCTAATGCATTGGCATAAATAAGTAGAATAAATTGTTTTGTTGCGCATATTCTCCATTTTCATTCAGGCAATGCATAATATGCTTCTTGGTGAATGATAATTTGGAAACTAGAATATGTGGACTTTTTTAAATCGTTACATTTAATTTACTTCCATGCTCACTGCTAAAATAATATATAAAACCAATGAAAATGTTGAAAATGTTGAAATTGAGTATCATAGTCACACCAACAACACTATAGTCAACTTCATCAAACAGGACAAACACTCCAGATATCAGACGCAAGGAAGCCCACCCAATAACATGCAGTTCCAACAGATTCAATCATTGCAAAGAAGAAGCAGCATCTAACTGTATATTAGATAGTGTAGAGACAAGTCTAGGAGATCTCATTCTGCGAGTTAACAATCTCAACCATTATTTTTGAAGTCAAAGAACCCCTTGCAGCTGGTGGGTAAAGACGTGGAAGTTACATGTTATTTGGTATAGCTAACTGCCTCATGCCAAAATTCAAAACTTTGACAGGAAGTCTGCTGAGTTCCAAATTGAATGGTAGTAGCTTTGTGTACTACAGTGTAATGTTATGGACTAGTTATCCAGAGAACTGGGCTAATAATCCAGAGGATATGGGCAAATGTTCTCCAGGCCATCGGGGATGGATTGGAAGGTGAGCAGGGCAGGAAAGTCGGATTGCCAATGTGATCTCACTGTCAGCTTTCAGCATGGCAGTATTGAATGCCACTTAAGACTTCCAGCCATGGCTAATGCGAGACCGCTGTTCAAAGCATTTGCTCTCCCAGAGACTGCTTTCACTATTTGACAGGCATTTGGGATGGACATTGGGATCCAGTTGGAAGAAGGCGAAACCCCTAACATAGGGCCTACAAGCAGAGGATTAGCTCTCTCGACATGTTTTGCATATGTGCCTCAGGAGGCTCAGCTTCATGCCAGATCAGTGCTGATGTCTGCAGTGGCAAGAACAAGACCTGCTTTCCACTGGAGCAGGCGAGCACATTTTGCAAATGGCAGACACAATGCCTGTCATTGGAGTATCACTGTGAACACTCCCTATGTCTCTGCTTCTCACCAACTGGTGTTTATATTTATTTATTTATTTAAATGATTATGGGCATCATTAGCTCGGCCAGTGTGTATTGTCCATTGCCAATTAGCCTTGACAAGCTACCAGAGAGCTGCCTTCTTTAATTGTTGCAGGTGTAGGGGCACCCACTGTGCTTTTAGAAAAGGTGTTCCAGGATTTTATCCCCAGAATACTGAAGGAACAACAAGTCAGGATGGTACATGGCACAGAGGTGAATTTGCAGGTGGTTCTTCCAAGTATCTGTTGACCTTGTCCTTCTAGGTTGTAAGGGTCACACTCCCTCATCCTGTGAATTAATAAAAAGGAAAAAAAAAATTTTCTTGCCCTATCCCCATATCTCTTGATGATTTTACTTTGTAGAAATCTATCAGTCTTGAAAGTACTCAGTGACTAAGTCTCCACTGCCCCCTGAGCTGGAGAACTTCAAAGATGTAAAGGTCGCAGTTTGAAATGGGATGTCTAAAGAGCCTTTGTGAGTTTTTGTAATACATGTAGATAGTATACACTGCTGCCACTGTGTATCAGGTATATTTTTTTCTGCAAGAAGAGAAAACCGAAAGATGTGAAAGTTGATAATGACTTTGGTGGATAGTTGTGGCAGGCACCATTTGTGAAGGGTGACTATAAGGCATGGGTGCAAAAAGGTAATAGGGTAAGACAGAGTGGTGTTTATTCAATCAGGATGTGGTAATAGGTTAAAAGGGAGTGTTGTTTTGTCAATTGGGATGTGATGTGCCTGAGAGAAAAAGAGGAATGAGTAGAGGTGCAAGGTGTCTTACCCTTGAGTGTGCTGTGTAGCAGGATGCTGGGAAAATCAGGAAAATCGGAGCATGAACTTGGCACGCCAGTCCTCCTGAGTTCCTATGTTCTCTCCAAGTTGAGGGGATCAAATGTTTGCTGTAAACTTAACCACCTGCTTGTCTGCAATCCTGTTTGGTTAAAGAGATGATTCTTCTTTCCATCGTTTGGAGAGCTCCCCTCACTACAGCTTCTCAGAATCTCTAACAGGATCTCTAGAGTAAAATTCAGAGTCGTGACCTGGAAGGGGTGGTGTGATGGGGATGTAAAATTCAAATATTGGTGAACATCCCTTATGCATGCATGATTTCTTTAATAGAAATCCTTCTTTCAACAGAATAAATTGCTATGATTGAATTGGGAAACATGCACTGATCATTGTGCCCCATTGTTCCATAGACTGCTAAGCAGGACTAAAGGACTTCATGCGAGGTTTTGTCAGTAGCAGAAAAAAACTCTTTTGTAACACACATAGCTTCAACCAAAAGGAGATTACAAATTTAGTATGATGTAACTTAAACTATACTCCTCTAAAAATGCCAAATACACTACACATTTACGATTAAGACAGAAAAGTGATAAATGCTAGTCATTGATACAATGGATAAAACAAGAATATAGATAGGATTAGCAAAATTATGAAAATCAAAATCTGAGTTTCAAAGTTATGCTAACTTGCCTCACACAATCTTTTTTTTTACCACTGTTGATATGCTGCTGTATGTAAGGAGATGGCATTCTTTCATTCAGTCATTGATTGGGTGGACCTAG